AAGAAATGCAGCTATCTTTATGGGAAGCAGTGTGGTTTAGGGAAATAAACATGGAGTTAGGATTCAAGATCTTCTGGTATCTCATTGTACCACTACCACTGACTTATTCTGTGATCTCACAGAAGTTGGTAACATCTCAGTTAGGATATGTCTACACAGCAGCATTATTTTGGAATAACTGACATTATTCCAAAATAATATAGTGTGCATCTACACTACAAGCCTTTATTTCAAAATAATGGTGAGCTGGAAAACTTCGCACTCTGACTCCTATAACCCCCATTTTACAAGGAATAAGGGAAGTCAAATAGCATCAAAAGCCAAATTAAGCTATTTCAAATTCAGCTATGCAATTGATGTAGCTGAAGTTACGTAGCTTAATTTGACTTTAGTCCTGCTGTATAGATGTACCCTTACTGAGTTTTTTCTTTCTTTAGGAATTTTCTCAGAATTAGTTAATATTTATATTGCGCCTGAAAATATAAAGTGCAACTTACTATCATCTATCTGAAATCAACTGCAGAGTATTGGAAATGTTATTGCTCTCATATGACAATTTACTAATAAACCCTATTCTATACGGTAACTCAAAACTTATGGTATATTTTTGTAATGACTAAGTTTTCAGAGACAGTGTATTAAACTATCTTCTTCTAATCTCAAAGCATCTTCATCGCCATTCATTCTTGTCAAAGCCCAGTCCTCCATTAATCCCAGCCTGGTCACATCCATTCAAACCATGTTGTGCCATCTAGTGGATCGTTTGGTCTCTAGTTCTGTAACTATAGTTGCATTTGCATTATTTTGTTTGGCATCTGATGTAGGGACGTAAGCAAGCTTATCAGGTAGTCCAATTAGTTATCCGGTAGTCAAGTAGACTTGACTAGTAGCTTCCCCCGCTTTGCTGCCTCTATTAGAGAGAGACAGCAAGGGGTGAGGGGATCAGGTGCTGGGGAAGAGCTGGCTTAAAAGCTGGTTCCCCCCAGTAGTGTCTGGGGGGACCGGGGAGGCAGAGGCACAGCTAGGGAGACTAGGAGCAAACTGGGAATCAGCTGTCCCGGCTCGCTCCCTGTCTCCCTCCCCTCCTTCCCCCCACTGCAGCTCTGCTTTTTAAATGTATTAAGAGCCTGAAGACTCTTAATACAGGCAGTCCCCGACTTACGCGGATCCGACTTATGTCGGATCCACACTTACGAACGGGGCTTTCTCGCCCCGGAGCTCACAGGCAGTGGTCAGCCACCTTGACCTCCGGGGAGAGAAAAGCTGCTCCCGGTGCCTCTGGTCTGCTAGGGACCGTCTCCAGCAGACCAGGGGCATCGGGAGCAAAGCAGCAGCCCCGGCGGGTTTGCTTGCGGTGCCCCTGGTCTGCTGGAGACGGTCCTGAAAAGTTAGACTAGAAATCTCAAGTACAGTAATCACTAATGCTCTTAGTATAATATTTTGTACGTTTCATTATATACTGCAATATATAAATATGATGGGCTAAATTCTGCTTTACTGTTGAATACAGGAGTTATATAGGGTGTAAATCAGCACAGAAATTGACTTAGTGGATTTGTTCGTAAAAGTGAATTATGTTCCTAAGAGCATGTCATCATCTACTTTCATTACCTACAATATACTGGTGGAAATTATTGATTGGCTTCCTCTAGTATGTGAGTTTTATCTCTCTTTGCTTATTTCTATTCTAGAGTAATAAACCTTAAAATCAAAGTAGGGACATTTTGTGTCTAGTTTGAATAACTCTTTCACTTAGACTGTCATGTAGAAAATCAGAACTCCAGAACTCTATTCCCAGCACTACCTCTGACTTCTTATGAGATTTTGGGCAGGTTGCATACCGTAGTCACTAAATGTCTACACTACCACCCTAGTTCGAACTAGGGTGGTAATGTAGGCAACCGGAGTTGCAAATGTGAGCTTCCTGGAATCAGCCGCTGATCAGTTTCAGCAGCAGCTGACTTGGGGATGCTTGGGGTTTTTAAGTTGAATCTGTATGTAAGTCAGAACTGGCGGTCAGTTTCAGCAGCGGCTGAATCTGGACGCCAGTTTTGACTTACATACAGATTCAACTTAAGAACAAACCTACAGTACCTATCTTGTACGTAACCCGGGGACTGCCTGTACATTTAAAAAGTAGAGGCATAGCATCGGGCGCAAGCCTGGCAGCTACTCAAACTTTCCTAAGTTCTTCATTTGTCTAAAAATGATTCTTTGTACCTGCCATCTCCTGATGAACTCTCATCCCTACTGCCTCCAACCTTCTGATGTCTGTTTCCTTAATGTAACTACGTCTAGACCACTGAGTAATACCATTAGTATGTTGATACAAGTTCACTCGGGTACCAAATATGTTTTTATCAGTCCACAAGCTCATCCAATTCTGTACATTATTTGCAGCTAAAGCACATCTCCTTTTATTTTCATTCTTGATGGAACCATTGGCACTGATCAAGATTCCTACACATACTAGCAAGATAACAGAGCAGCTGACAGACAAACTTTATAAGAATTAAAGGAGGGTAATGTAATTAATGAAAATCAACATAGGTTTATGGAAAATAGATCCTGTCAACTAAATTAATATCGTTTTGACAAGATCAATAATCTTGGTTGAAAAAGGTAAATAGATTGAGCTGACTGGATATCTATACTGCAACTATACACCTGTGGCTGGCCCGTACTAACTAACTTGGGCTCCAGGGTTCGGGCTATGACAGGGTCAATTCACTACTGTGTCGACTTCAAGGGCTCTGGCTGGAGCCTGAGCTCTAGGACCCCATGAGATGGGAGAGTCCCAGAGCTTAGATACCAGTCTAAGCCTGGAAATCTATACAGCAATGAAATAGTCCCCCAACCCAAGCCATAAGCCTGAGTCAGCCGTGGATTTTTCTTTGCTGTGTAAACACATCCTTTGAGTCTAACAAACAGAAGGTTATGGGGTGACTTTATAGTCTTAAGTATCTAAATATTTAATAACTGGCTCTTCAGCCTAACAGAAAAAAGTACATCAAAATTCAATGGTTAGAAGTTGAAGCAAAACAAAATCGGACTGCAAATTTTTAACAGTGAAAGTAATTAACAAACGGAACAATTTACCAGAATTGTGGAGGGTTATTCATCACTGACAATTTTTAAATCAAGCTTAGAATTTTTTCTAAAACATATACTCTAGGAATTATTTTGGGGAAGTTCTAATTCCTGTATTACACAGGGGGTACATATTAGAGCATGGGTTCCCAAACTGTGGGCTGTGCCCCCTTAGGGGGTACGTAAAGAAATTCTAGGGGGGACGCGAGGCAACCCAGCCCCACACACCCCCATCAATCCCGCCCCAAGTTTTGCTGCTATTTTTTTGGGAAGGGGGGGCATGAGGGTTTCTCAAAAATCAAAAAGGGGGTGTGATGCCGAAAAGTTTGGGAACCACTGTACTAGATGATCAATTCATAATGGTTCTTTCAGGTCTTGTTCTTTTTTCTTTATTATAAACTTTTAGTTATAGACACTAACTAATTGGCTGTCAGCATGGTATTTTTGGATAACATCTAAATCTATACCTACCTGGTAATGTGGCTGGTCGTTTGGGGTCAGAAGAACATTTTGTACATGTGAACAGAGTTTTAAAATAACTTCTCACTGTAGCCAGAGAACTCAAAGGTAATAAAAGGGGGTTGTGTGATTTTTTTTTTTACTTCTTGATAGTCAGTGTGGGGATCAGAAGCACAGTTTGTTACTAGTTGGAAAGATTAACTTCAATGTTACCCACCAGTCTTGGAGTATCCGCTGTCCCTTTTGCAGCCTGCCCTGATCTTGGAATTTCCAGAAAGAACTACACCAGGCACCCCGAGTAACACCAACTCCAAGACCAGTGGGCCAAATTATTACCTTGATCAATCCGTCCATCAGCCCTTACCAAGAGAGCAATTATTACAACAGTCATTTCAATAGGCTGAGTTACCTTGTCACCTTTCTGCTAATACTATCAAAAGAAAACCCAATTAGTAGAGTTTTTAAAAAAATGCAGAAACATGCCCACTGAGCACCACCAATGTAGATGACATACCATCCAGTGGTGATGCAGTGGCTACGTTTCAGTTACTACAAACTATTTAGCACGCTACCTGAGGTTTGACCCATGTACTCTCACTTTGTATATTTTCAGAGATCTATTTAAAACAGATTCCAAAGTGTCCTGAACCGAAACTTCAGGTACAGTACAAATTGACGAGGAAGCACTTTCTCTAGACAATTTGTGATTCATTTTTTAAATACAGAAAATTTGTTCTATACAGCTTCCCTATATAAAATGTCCAGGCTCTGTTTTTCAATTGGATTCTTTAAAGCATGATAAAATGGACCAGATAAGGGGCACTGTAGAAGCATAGTGCTGACCAAATGCAGTCCAGTGAAAGTTTTAGGTCCTGCATAATCCCTGTGCCTACTACAGATTTTCAAAAGACTACCACATAAGATTGGGATTTCTCCCTCTTGTACATACTGATTTGAGGGAAGATTCTATGACTAACAAATTCTAAGCAAGGAGGTTATATAGGCTGTCATGAGCCAATCCTATTTTCTCCCATTTATAATTGACATTTTAAACACACTAACAACACTGATGCTGTCCGAGATAAAACACATTAAAGACTCAAAATTCTGTCCTCCAATACAGAGCAGGCATTAGGGATGTAAAATCTCATTTAATCAGTTAACTGGTTAAATCTTAAGTTTAGCCACTGGTTAGCCACTTAAACAGGATCCCACAGGTGGGAAGGGGCTGGTGGCGGTCCAACCTGACTGGGCTGGAGCGGCCCCCTGCCCATGCTGGAACACATACCCATTCTGCCACACTGCAGACTGCTCAGACCAGGTTGGCCTGCTGCGGGTAGGGACAAGTCTGATGCACCATCCTGCGGACCGCTCTGACCAGAGCACCTCCCACCTGCGGCACTGTGGGCTTGCCCGGGCTGGAGCAGCCCCCTACCTGAATTGGCCAGGCCGCTGGTTATCCAGTTACTGGTAAGCATCACCAGATAAGGGTGATGCTCACCAGTTAACCATTTAACCAATGACATCCCTAGAGGGTATTGTACTGGATCTTGGAAAATAAGCTATTACATGTGCAAACTATCGGACCTTCTAAAAAGCAGAATCCTATGAATCAGAAAGCAGGACTACACTCTAAATTAATTTTAAGCAAGGTGATGTTTAATTTTTTCCTGTTTTTCCCTTGGACTTTTTTCATTATATTTTATTATATAAACCACTACACTGCTACAAATTTAATTATAAAGGTTGGCTAATACGAGAAGGATCATTTTATGAACAGAAAAAAAAATCCAAAAACTGAATTATAAGCCACTGGATGGCCTCACATACTCAGAAATGCTTGGGGCTCTCATTACTAGAATATCGGACTGCGTAGGAAAATTTGAACTTTAAAGTCACATGATGAAACCACTGGTTTCCTAAACATGCTACGTATATAGTTTCAATTACTTAAAACCAAGGTTCTATTTCCCCAGCAGAACTGAAGGTTTTTGCAGTCTGCGACTATCTGGGATTTTGAGTTTGAAATACGGCAACCAAAGAAGCGACTTCGTTTACACAGAAAGCAGAGTATATACTAAAAAGGTGTTACTTCCTCCTAATAGTAATTATATTTCATCTCAGTATTCACTGTGAAAGACTCAGACAGTTGCATCTGTGGAACATTGCAGAGGTAAGTGTTTTACCTTGTTTTAAATATGCAATATTTTAATCATCACTAAAGGATCAATGTATAATGTTTAAATTAAATCATTTTTCCTATCATCTGGACCCTACAAAGTGCAATAAAATGTGAGCCATCTGGGAAATACTTTCATAAAACTAATGCTTAATTGTGAAACTGAATTTGAGACAAACAGATTTAGAGACTAAGCATCCAGACCGTGTTCTCAATAGTAGGAATTAACACGCACTTTTAGATACATAACAGAAAATCTATATCAGTGGTCACCAACCAGTAGATCGGGATCAACTGATAGATCCTGGAGCCTCTCACAGGTGATCCTGGCTGGGAGGCTGTCTTTAGTTGCCACTCCTCCCACTGCTGTGCTGTTCCTGCCCTCCGTTTTGGAGCTGCCCCCCGGGAACCTCTTGCTTGCTGTGCAGACATAAGAAGTGTAGGAGGGGAGCACTGAAGTCAGGGTGCCCACCTCCCCCTTTTCATGTCCCCAAACTCCACAGAGTGAGCAGAGTGGGGCATAGGTGCAGGCCGGGCAAGATTATTTGGGTTTGAGGTAGATCCAGGAAGTGCCAGGAATGGGGCTGTTTTCCATAATATGTAAAGGGAGGGACAGAGAGAGAGAGGGGACGTGAAAGATAGGGGCACAGGAGAGGAGGAACACAATATGGAGATTGGCCAGTGAGGGTAGTGAGCCCGCAGTGGGGAGCTATACTGGAGAGAGACCACTGGGCCCAGACGCACCACCAAAAGAATGGCCAACAGGGCTGGGGCTCTGCCATCTGGCATGCCACCAGATCAGGTAAGAAGCCCGCCTATCCCAAACCCTTCACCCCTTGGCCTTTGGCCACAGTGCTGGAGGTGGGGAGAGAGAAGGCCCCCGGAGGCCAGGAAGGTGCTAGGGGAAGAGAGAAGACCTCTGGCAACTAGGGGAGAGAGAAAGCTCCACCGGATGGGTCTCCCCTCTCACCCTGAGCTCCTCCTCAACCCCCAACGCTCACTCTCACCCCCCTCCAACACACCTTCAGCCTCCTGCCAGGCCCCCTCTGCCTCCCCAAGGCTCTGCCCTAACTCCTGCACCCTCCATACCACCAGCCTTCTGCCTGAAGGACCCACGTAACATTGGGTAATTCTTCTAGTATTATATAAAACAAACAGAAAACATGTCAACCTTACTGATTAAAGTCTAAGTTAAGAGTTAGCGCTGCTTCATTTACATTCCAGAAAATTAAATATGTAAAGTTTTGGTTGGACAGAAACTGACAAACTTTCTAAAATGGAAGGGTCTGGTTCGTTAAACATTCAAAATTCCACAATTTCAAGCCTGAAATATTTGTATTAAAGGTTTAATTATTCATATAACCCAAAGACTTGTAAGATGAGAAGAATTTCAGTAGGATATTTTAGTATTTTATCATCTTATTGTACATTTTAGTGTTTCATCATCTTACTATACAGCAGCTGTTGCCTCATATATAAATTCTGTCCCCACTTTTTAACATCGCAGAATCTAAAAGTAGTAGGAAAGCTAATCAGGGTATACTGTATTTAGAAAACCTAAACTGCATTGCTTTCAGGAGTTAAAACTGCACATGCCCCATCATGGACTGAGGGTTGGTAGCCACAGAAATCTTACGCACAAAAGATTTCTGGTTGGATGAAAGGAAATTTTGATGGTGGTTGGAAAAAGAATGCAGGACGACTCTCCTCCTAAATTTTTTATACCAAAATAGACTTGTTTCTAAGGAAATCATTCCCAAATTTAGAGGTGCCCCTTTGAAGGTTTTAAATAAGTGCCAGTTTCCATTAAGCCAAGGATCCAAGACTTGGGTGCTTAAGTAACCAAACACGGGAAAAATTGGTTTTAGAGTCCAGGCTCTCTTTTTCTCTGTTTTCTTTTCACTTCTTGCAGTCCTGCATTGCCTCGTGGGCATTACATTGAATTGCTCTGCTCCATCTGTCGGCAGTGAAAGATAATTTATTAGCTGTGTGCCTGTGCTTCAGAGAACAGGAGTCTGACACGTACACCTTCACTGCCAGCACACAAAGCATAACAGATCAAACTAGAGTAACATAGTGCCAAGAAAAAAAAAGCAGAATGGAAAGGGAGAGACAATATGAATCAGAGGAACAGTGGACTGAAGAGCCACATGAGAGTGGTGTTGAACTATAAATAAATACAGGAGAACAAAGGCAAGGAAGGAAATAATCTAAGGAGATGTAGGAAAGAAATAGACAAGTCAGTATCAAGAAGTGAATACAAACAGAATATTGAGGATGCTTTTGTGGCTAAAGCAGAGGACTTAAATTACAATGAGATATGGAATTGTGGCAGAGCCTGGAATTAGTCTCCATGTCATGTCTGATACTTCGCTAGATGCAAAATGGGGATAGTGTTACCCATGAAATTTACAGGAGAGTTGTGAAGAATTCAAAAATGTCTATCAAGTGCTTAGAATCTAGATTGGTAAATTCTACATTAAACCAATAAATAAAGAAAATATAACAATCAGGCACAGCATAAACTATACAACTATATGAGAGTACACTGCATGCTACTGAAGTAATGTAAGGATTAGCAGCAAACCTTTGGAACACCAGAATTTATCAGAGTGGGTGAAAGACTGTAAAGTCCTTCATTTTTTCCATAAAGCTAGCATGCTAAAAAGATCATGGCCACAATGGCACAAGTGCCAGCTTCAGCTAGCCAGAGGAGTACTTACCTATGGGATCAGGTGGCATTGGACTTGGGTGTCTAACCCACGCAGCTCCCCATTACACTACAGCCATACTTACGCTGATAATATATCCCATTTTTCTGGGACTGTCCTGGAAAGCTCCACCGGACATTTCACTACTTGACAGGGACACCAGGTTGTGGGAAGAAGTGCCAAGCTGTGCCATTGCTTCTCACATGGTGCAGCAGCCTCCTCCCTCTCCCGCCCTGCAGGGCTCATAGGGAAGCTGGGCTGGCTTCCAGTGGCATGCAGCCCTTTCCTCTCCCTCTTTCCTCTCTCTCCCAGTGGGACTGCCTCTGCCAAGCGGGGTCTTAGTCTGGCGGCACCGCCTCCTCCTCCAGGCTGCCTTGAAGGCTTAGCGAGAACTGCACAGATCCCAGCTGCGGTGCTGTGGGGCCAGCCACACACGGGCTTAGCAAGTGCCGGGACTGGAGCAGAGGCTGCCCGTGGTCCTATTTTTAGTACTGCGGTTGGGGTCCCCACAGGCGGCCCCAGCTCTATCTGGAATCAAGCGGCAGCTACACAAAGTGCAGTCCAGCTGGGGCAGCCTCACCCACTATAGAAAGGATGTGGACGCATTGGAAAGGGTCCAGCGGAGGGCGACCAAAATGATTAGGGGGCTGGAGCACATGACCTATGAGGAGAGACTGAGGGATTTAGGCTTATTTAGTCTGCAGAAGAGTGAGGGGGGATTTGATAGCAGCCTTCAACTTCCTGAAGGGAGGTTCCAAAGACAATGGAGAGAGGCTGTTCACAGTAGTGACGGATGGAAGAACAAGGAGCAATGGCCTCAAGTTACAGTGGGAGAGGTCTAGGTTGGATATTAGGAAAAACTATTTCACTAGGAGGGTGGTGAAGTACTGGAATGGGTTACCTAGGGAGGTGGTGGAATCTCTATCCCTAGAGGTTTTTAAGTCTTGGCTTGACAAAGCTCTGGCTGGGTTGATTTAGTTGGGATTGGTCCTGTCTTGGGTAGAGGGCTGGACTTGATGGCCTCCTGAGGTCTCTTCCATGATTCTATGACTCCAGCTGGAGCCGGGCAGCCTGCCGGGACCGGGACCTCAGTACTAAAAATAGCACCACGGGCGGCCTCTGCTCCAGTCCCAGCATGCGGTCCTGCCCCAGGAGCAGCTGGGGCCGGGATCGCGGTAACAAAAATAGTGAGGCAGCCAGGCTCCATCCCCACAAACTGCATTCCATGTGGAAGGCAGAAGGTGAGGGAAGGGGCAGAGGGAGAATTAGGGGGAAGTGGAAGTGAGGAGAGGAAGGGGCTTGTGCTGAGGAGGGAGAAGGGAGGGCAGGAGAAGAAAGGGGCAGGCACCAAGGGGCAGGGTGGAGGAGAGACAAATGCCAGGAGGCCAAGAGGAGACAATGAGGAAAAGGGCAGGAGGGGGGATGGGAGAGATGGTGTCAGTGGGGGTGGGAGAAGGGACGGGACAGGGTGATGCTGGGAGAGGGGCTGGACAATGGGGACAAGAGGAAGTAAGAGGAGAAGGGAGGAGTGGGTGCCAGAAGAGGAGGGGTTGAAAGGAGGGATGGGCATGAGGAAGGCAGAGGATGGAGCAAGTCATGTGTGAGGGCACAAAGAGGCATGAGGAGAACTGGGGCAAAGGGTGGTGAGGGGTGGGCACCAGGGAGGAAGAGGGCAAGGGCAGTGAGGGAAGGGAGAGGGACCAAGAAAGTGCAGGGGTAAGAGAAGGTGCCAGGGGATTGTGGGGGTCAAGTAGAAGGGAAGACATGGGGGGCACAGGACAGGCACCAAAGGACACAGGAGAGAGGTAGGGCAGGTGGTCAGAGGGAGGTGTTAGGAGAGGGGATGGGGACGGGAAGCTACAGATGATCAGAGTGGGGCTAGAGGAGTGGACACGGGAAAGAGAAGAACTGGTTCAGGGGAGAGGGGCAGGTCCCCAAAGGGCTAAGGGAGTGAGAAGGGCAGGAGCCAGGTCAGCAGAGGAGGGTGAGAGGTGGGGGGCAGCAGCAGGCACCAGGGGAGCAGAAAGGGGGAGGGGAGGGGAGGAGACATGGCAGCAGAGGGAAAAGGGAGAGGTTTATAAGATATTTATTAATAACTTGGATGCCACAGTGGCACATCCGAACAAGCCACATGAACTCAATACTGGTGCAAAACTCACTCTGTTCATGGGAGGAAAGTCTTAGAGTGAACACTTTCCCCAGCCTCTCCCCACAAGTTAATGCAATGCAAATTGGGTTAATGCAACTGCAGGATAGTTGTGTGGGGGGGTCCTGTGAGGGCCA